TGTGTGTGTGTGTGTGTGTGTGTGTGTGTGTGTGTGTGTGTGTGTGTTTCCCTGGTTCAAGCCTCTGCCACTAGCCTGTAATTATGATCCTCGAGGTAATTTTATCAGCCTCATTAGCTCTGATGAGTAAACGAGAAGCGTGCTTCTAATTTATTGGCCATTCAGGCTGGAGATTTTATTTTCATCCCAGATCATAATGTTTGTGTGTGTGTGTGTGTGGGGGGGGGGGGGGTGAATACACACCGGCTCCTGTACCGACACCGAGGCCAAGACTTTCACTTGAAATGGTGATGATGCTCTGTGTCTGTACTGACGCAAGAGCATTTGTTACCATTACTTTTGGAATGAGCATGAAAACGCAGAATCTTTTGATCCGAGCAGGATTTCCAATGAAAGCGATTGTTTGACTTGTATTTTCCCTGCACTAAATTAGATTCCCACACCTCTGCGCACCAAATTGCATTGTTTTTGTTCCCTGTTCGGCGGAGATTATCTATTTACTGTCGGGGAGCGGCGTAAACGCACTCGCAATATTCAGTGTTTGAAATTTGCATTGAGGGGAAATTATGCATGCCGGCTAGTGGAAATGAAATGTATAAAGTCCATGACTGGTAGACTTTGACAAGTGCAGCTTTCTTCCATCTTAAATGAATAATTTTCACTTCCCTTAAACATCCTTAATCCATCCATGTTATCAGCCGGCATGCAGGATTGTGCCAGACTTTCTCCTTAAGCGCACAGCAACTTTCAACTTGCTGGAGATGCTGCGCTGCACTTGCTTACCGCCTGGTCTTAGGGACTCGCTCTTATCCTTTCCCTGCTGCTTTTGTGGATCAGTAGAATTCCTCCCAAACACAATATATACATAACGTAAGACTTAATAGATAGGGAATGTCTCACTGTCCCTGCTCTGTGCTGCCTCAGAGCTCAACTTAATGCACCGTATTTTACCTCAGATTCACGTTGCCAGACAACTCCAAGGATGGCAGCGACAAAAACCCATTTGCTCGGTGGCCCCTTTGTCCCCTATTTCAAATTTCACTGACAGACTCTTCCATGCTTGTATAATGTGGTTTGGAATTTCATTTAGCCGTAAAAGGGATAGAGAAGGATATTCATGGCAAATTACTCATTTACAAGCAGCTTTCAGCATTTGGACATATTTTGGGGATATTTTCTTGTCGTCTTTACAGAAATGCACACGTGTGGCGATACTGTGGCAAGTACCCGCGCTCAGCATCCCAATCCTTTTAATTTATGCACGTGGCATGTTGTCTAAAAAAGAATAAACAATAAAATGTGTAATTGGTGTTGATACAGCTAATCCGCGTGATAGCCTTCTGTGCGAAGGGTTACCTGGCTATTTCCAACACGCTCTCTCTCAGAAGCTTCGGTTTGCGATAAGAATATTAACCTCATCAATTTCAGGTAACTTTCAACGCTTTAGCGTCTTGTCTTTAAGACCTGCGTGTTAGCAAGAGTCTCTGCTTTGGCATTTAGTGACATTTTAAGCCTTTTAACAGAATCCAGACGGGGATTTGCCGTTTCCACCAAAGAAAAAATCATTTCTATCCTCCGTTTCTGGGAAACTGTGGGTAGAAGGATTAAATGCACCAGAGAGATTTGTATGTGGTGCAAGTAAAACAATGTTGTGACTCTTGTTAATACATTCCATCCGTCTACTTGTGCACTTTTCAGGAAGTCGATGAGCTGAAGTTGGATTTGATTGTCTGTCTTTGTAATGTTCCTTTTCATGAAGCGTTACGTGTTTAGGTCTGAGGGAAGACGATGCTCTGTACTTGAACTCCTCTTGTAACTGGGCTATGAAAACAATTTAAAGACATGAGCATTCCTGTCAATTGCTTCTGAAACCTCTGACACAGTGCTATGAATTATATTTAAAACATCCTGCCATACTTCCACAGACACCCATACTAAATAAAACATCTGAACGATGGTTTAAAAAGCCTTTTTGTGTGGCAGAGTGTTGGATGCGGCTTGTGGTCTGAGTGCATGATGATGCTGCTGTGTAGTGGAGACATGCAGGGCTCTGTCCTCTCTGTGGGCCGGCAGCTTTGATGCACCGCCTCTCTTATCTCATGCCTGCCAAGGTTAATGAAGTGGTGGCACTTCTGCAGGAAGTAGAAATGGAATGAGTAGCAAAGACCAGAGGAAGCTTGGAGATGAAACGTCCAGCTCTTAGCGACTGTAAGTGGCAATTTTTGGTGAATAACTTGGACAATAACAAAAAAAGAGTTCGTCATCCCCTTCAAACAAACAGTCTTCTGAAACACAAGTGGCTGATCATATCTCTGGCAGTCTGCGTGGTCCTTTATGAAATTACATTAGCATTTAGCCATCGCATTAAACGTGATCTGTCCAACATCTTATCAGCTCATGTTGGAGTTCCTACACAACGTTTAAAGGCACCGACTGCCAAATATGCACTGAAGACCAGTTAAAAGATCACGACCACAATCCTCTATTCTTTCCTATTTATAGTTGATTTATCCTTTAACAAAAGTGTTTGTTTACCTACGTAAATATCCAGAATGACTGAAAATATGTTGGTGGTGATGGACGAGCCATTTGGAATTGAAAATGCACCAATTTAAATATATTTGCTTGAAATTACACTCGTATTGGTTGACTAAAGGTTGCGAGTGTTTTGTTTGCATTAAGTGTGTACCTCATTTTGGAATTGAATATATAAATTTGGAAACCTTGTGATTTAATTACTTTCAAACTGGGCCTTTTGATAAGACTCAAGAAAATGTCCCCGACCCACCCCCGTGATTTGCTCTGCTTATATTTAAACTTGTTTAAGAGTCAAAAGTTCACAGCACCAACTTTAAAAGCTTGAAGTTGATGCTGTGAATACGTTTCTTTTACCAGATCGTTCCCAATTAGTCTTCATCTGCTCACACACACTCATGTTCGTGCTGCTGTTGTTTGTTTTGTACCATTAGTGCTCACTTTATATTCCCAGTTTATATTCTCAGTTTATATTCCCAGTTTATATTCCCAGTTTATATTCCCAGTTTATATTCTCAGTTTATATTCCCAGTTTATATTCTCGGTTTATATTCCCGGTTTATATTCCCAGTTTATATTCTCACTTTATATTCTCAGTTTATATTCCCAGTTTATATTCTCAGTTTATATTCCCAGTTTATATTCCCAGTTTATATTCTCACTTTATATTCCCAGTTTATATTCTCACTTTATATTCCCAGTTTATATTCCCAGTTTATATTCTC